ATTATAATAATATAAAGATGAATACGAATAAAATGCATAATTTCATGACCATAATATAGATGTTTTTTTTCAAGAGTAGTTGTAAAACATTGATAAGAAGAAAGAAAATAAAGAAATTAAACAATAATAAAAGAAATTAAATAAACATATAAATAAAATGAATATAAATCATTATTTTAATGAATAAAAATCAATAAATAAACTAATTTATTTATTCAAATAATATATTTTAACTATTTTAATTATATTTTATTTTTATTATTCTTTGATGATTTTATTTTATTATTAATGTTTATTATTTACTATTTATTTTCATTTATTCATTTTGTTTATATTCTTATCATAATTTAAATATTAAATATTCATTATTTATATTGTTTATAATTGTTATTTATGTTTATTGTAATTAATATCATTTTCAATTAATTTAAAAAAATACTAACATGTAGTTTTCATTTATATAACACTTATTAATTTAATTTAGTATTTCATCTTTTTAAATTTCAATTAAAACATTGAATAAAACATAATTATTTCTTCTTTATTCTCTTTCATTTTTATATTCTTTGTTATTACATATATCTTTTTCTTTATTCATTATTTATTTGTTTTTATTACATTAATGATAATGATATGTTAATAGTATTCTCTCTAAAGTAATGAACAATAGATAATAATTCTATTAACATTGTTTATTTCTTCTTTATTCTCTTTCATTTTTATATTCTTTATTATTTGTTATATTCTTTGATACTTAGTATTCTTCTTTTATTTTATCTTTATTTTATATCTTATTCTTTTTATTAATTCATTTTATTTTCTTAATTTATTCATTTATTCTTGATATACACTGGTTAATTAAACTAATTCTGTAAATTTATTTTATTTTTCTATTTCTTCTTTATAGTTATTATCTTATCTTTTCTAGATACTTTCATCATCATTCTTTTCTATTTTCTTTCTACTACTTTATACATTACTCTTTTTATTTCTTGTTCATTCTTTTCTTTCTCTTCTTCATTTTTATCATTTTATTCTTCATTTTTATATATTTCTTTTGTATCATTTAGTACTTCAATTCATTTGTGTTTTATACTTTTGTTCTTTTATTTTATTTCTTATTACTCTATATTATCTTTCTATATTATTTTACATACTTTCATTTCAATTATTTCTTTATTAACTTCTTCTATTTTGTATTTATGTAATTTTATTCCATCATCCTTTCTTTATTTTACTTTCTTCTTCTGTATCTTCTTTACCATCTCCAACTTTCTACTTCTTTATTCTTTCTTGTTTTATTTATTTATCTTCTTTCAACTCATTTTTATATTCTTTATTAGTCTTACTTCATTTTACTATTTCTACTTTTATTTTCTTCTTTTCTCTACAAATTTAGTATTCTTATTCTTCTTCTATTCAAATTCTTCTATTTTCTTTATTCTATTTTATAATCTATGTATTCTTTTCATTACTATTTCAATCATTTGATTTCATTGTTTATGATTTTCTGTTCTTTTTGTGTTTAAATATCTCATCTATTTGTTTGTTTTCTATCTTGTTAGTATTTATTTGATTCAAGTGATATTTGACATCAGAATTTAATTTAAATAACAAATGATTGATTAGATATGATACAAAAATACAAAAAGATAAGTTTAAACGAATTAAAAGAAACAATACAATAACAAATAATGAAATCATATAATAACTATCACATTAATGATAAACATATTAAATACACAAATAACTAACAAATGTTAATATAATACAAGAAAATAATAGTAAAGTGAATAACATAAATAAAGAATAGAAGAAATCACATGAATAAAGAAATAAAAGATATAAGAAATAACAAGATAAATACAACAAATAAAAATAAATCAATAAAATAGAAATAACATAAAATACAATAACTAAATCATCAACAATTAATTAGAATGAAAATGAAATAAAACATATCAAATTATAAATATAAAGAATAAACGACAAATATAAATAATTAAATAAATATAATTAACAAATCAATAAAAATAAACATAAATTAACAATAAATACGAAATAAAGAAATATAAAATATTAATAATCATTGTTTATCAATTTATGATTTATCTTTTATATTAAAATGATTATCAGAATTATTATATAATAATTTAACATCACAATGTTTATTTCATAAATATTATAATTAAAATAATTTAGAAATATTCATTTACTCATTATTCATCAATATATTATTAATTCAAATCTGTGATGTTATGATATTTGTTTTTAAGATATAATTAAAGTAGTATTGAAAGTATTTCAAAATAATCAAACAGAATCAATTACTACTAATATTGATGAAATGATTTAATGATTATCTTTTTATCAATTAGAATATATCAAAATAAACATCATCAATTCTTTTAAAACACTCTTCTGGTACAGCACCATTTTCTTTTAACATATCTGCACAAATACATTCATAAAACAATTCTTTCCAAATGATAGATTGATGAAGATAGTACAGATGTTAGTGATGAACAT